TTGAAGTTTACAAATTTTGGTTCCCTTTTATCTCCAAAACTGGCAGAGATAGGTCCATAGTTACTATTGAACTTGAATAGGAAGTCATATACTGGCAATCTAAATGTGACCTTGAAATTGACCTTTGACCTACTTTACACCATAAACTGAACTTTGCAACTTTTTAATGCTTTTATTTTCAAAACTGGCAGAGATACGTCCATAGTAACTATTGAATTTGAATAGAAAGTCATTAGAGGCAATTTACTGTGACCTTTAAATTGACCTTTGACCTACTTTTAACCATGAACTGAACTTTGCAAATTTTGGTTCCGTTTTATCTCCAAAACTGGCAAAGATACGCCCATAGTTACTATTGAATTTGAATAGGAAGTCATATACTGGCAATCTAAGTGTGACCTTGAAATTGACCTTTGACCTACTTTTTATCATGAATTGAAGTTTACAAATTTTGGTTCCCTTTTATCTCCAAAACTGGCAGAGATAGGTCCATAGTTACTATTGAACTTGAATAGGAACTCATATACTGGTAATCTAAATGTGACCTTGAAATTGACCTTTGACCTACCTTACTATGAACTGTACTTTGATTGTACCACTTTTAGTTATATATTTTTTGCATATTTTGAGAATTCTTGTTGATTGCATTTTTTACAGCTTGTCAAACACAAGACTGGTGGTGGTGTCCCTTTTTTGTGTGTGTGGGGCTCTATACGATCGCGCTTACTCCAGCTGGTGGTACAATATTCGGAGGCGGTATCGCCTCTCTGATCCTCTAGTTTTATTGTGTATGAGGAGCCGGAGAATCCAGCACATCTGATGCAACGTACACTTGCATAAGTGATAACTTTTAGGTTTACGGATACTCCCATTTTATGGACATTTTATTTCATTCAACTCAGTGGGAGGAACACATGGTATATATATTTTAGTCAATTATTTCAGTTTTCTTTCTTAGAATTTATAGTTAAAGGAATGTCAGACGTGTCTTGCGAATTCCTGCATGAAATAAAACCAAGATCCAGTGGACGACCTATGCTTTTCCTTAGATCTTTCTTTGACTATATAGACCCCGTGCGCTTTTTTTGGTGTTAATGTTTTTCAATACTGTTGCTCCTTACTATTTGTCTATTCAAGTTCTCCTTACATGTAGTTTTAGTTACATTCTGAATTAATGGCCTGCCCCAAATATATCCCAAAGGCGACTTAGCTAAGGGTCTGATTTAGGAATGAAATGTATTCCCAGAAAATGTATTCATATTCCGTGAACACTGGCTATATGCACTACCAATCATCATGGACTTTATAATCAATTAGAGCCATTTGGAATTGATGACCTGCCCCAAATATGCTCCATAGGCTGTCAAGCTACGGGTCTGATATGGGCGGCAAACGTGATGTGAACATATATCATATTTTAACGTTAGTAGAAAATATACCAGAACGTTGTCACGGCACGACACTGTTCAAAGGAAAAGGAGTATCATTTGGTAAGTACCATTAAACTTCACAAAGGTTATTTGTGTGCCAGGAACGGTAGTCCAAGAAATAGAAGTCTGGGGATCCCTTTATGATTAGTACAAGTTAAGATTAGTTCTAGTATTGGGGTTATTATAGCAGATGAAATTCACCGGTACAAAGTAACGAAAAACAGACAACGTTTCCTAGCGGACAACCGTCAGTGTCACACGTGGATGGTAGTCTGCTAAGAAAGTTACGTACATGTTTTAATGATAAATAAATTTTGCAATATGTTGGAGGTTCGGCACAGTATGTTATAGGCAATGCCAGACGCCTGTGCAACGTGCACATGCTTCTTATCGGCTGATTTTGGCACTTTTTCCTCCCCGAAGATGACATCCGCCACTCACGTACAGTAGATCGCGCTTCCATTTTTTCCGAGTCTTACTGATATTAATATCGAATTGACATCAGTATGCACTGCACATTAAAAAAGAAAGAAAGAAAACAGCTTTTTTGACCAGATTAGGCCATTACAGTCTTGGAACCGCCTTTCTGGTGCTCACTTTCCAGATATGTTCAGGTGGTCAGAAATTCTAACAAGATGAAAATGAACCCCTGAAGTAATCAACGCCAAATGTTTGCCAGGTATACCACAAAAAGCGTCCAATACTTGATCCATTTAATAAAAACAATGTCAATGTGGGCAAATTCATTTAGTGTTTAGAATAGATATATGTAGAGATGGTACGTTACATTATGGTTTTGCCTCTAACCAATATTTTGCAGCTATTGACTTCAACACCCCTTTACATTGTCACAAATTAATTCAGTATCTGTATAGTTACGCCTGCTTCAGAACAAGAAAAATATATTTCAGGGCAAACGAAGTTTAAATTTGACGGGATTCATCGTGAACTAAAATATGTTTTAAACTAATCTTTGAATGAATGTTACATAAGTGATACCGAGCCTACACGTTAGAAAGGCGGAGTTAATAAGATTTGAGTGATTAATAAAAGATAAAAAATATAAGTGGGAAGATGGCCTGAAGGCTATTGGGTTTATCTATCATAGTTGATCTTAATAGATGTGTTGTCAATGTAATTTATTTATTTATTTTTATC